TGGTAGTATTTAAGCTTTCTATGGTTTCATGTAGTACGATAGATTATGGTTATTGCTTATTCGCCATCTCCAGTTACCTTTGAGGTGAAACCCTAATTCTTTGATCTCTAGATTTACTACATTCTAACCATTGTTACCGTTTCAGGCTTTTGGAACTATAATCCTACTTCTTCAAATCTGCAGGTGTTTTAGAGGAAGTTTTAAAACATCTCCTAAGATGTGTATTACATAATTTTTTGGGACCCTAAATCTCATAAGAATCCTAAACCTCATGATACAAAGGGATAGTTCTGAAGAATGTGGGCTCTGATACTAATTGTAATGACCCACTTTCTCCGTTGAGAAATCTCATAAGAATCCTAAACTTCATGATACAAAGGGATGGTTCCGAGGAACGTAGGCTATGATACTAATTGTAATGACCCACTTTCTCTATTGAGAAAGGAGCACTATTCTTCACACATAACCTAGTAAATTTACGCAGCATTAAGCAAAAACTTAAGATTCAATCATCCCCTATACAGAATTACAAGTTTCGAGGCTTACAAAATTTCTTACATTACATTGATATAATATAATTAAACTGACTTTACAAGATAAACTCTTACTATCACTAAAGATTCTTCAAAGTCTTCCTTCGACCTTGAACTTACTTTTGATTTGGACTAATCTGCATTGGAGGTGTGAATTGGGGTGAGTTTCACAGACTCAGCAAGGAAAAAGGGCAGTGCCCACAACAAAGACATGTACATACTCAATCACCAAATCTTCTAAATTAGTTTATTTAGTAAACATTCAGAATTTCTTATTTCGGTATTATAACTCAGGGCATAACAGTTCCTAAATAGTACAATTCAGTATTCAGTATCACAATTTAAGCAGTAAGCAGTTCAGTAAATATTAGTTCAGTATTTCAGTATCGTAAACTTTACCCAGGACTTTCTATTCCTTCCTATCAGTTTTTATCTTATTAAAAATAGTTTCACCGCGCGATGTCATTTCTGCCAGTATCAACGAATGCAGTAAGGATCCCCTCTACCACGTGAATATGTTACAATTCAGTCCACAGTTTATAATTTGCAGTACACAGTTCTTATCGCTTTGCTACATCTAGCTAAAGTTGTATCCACAATTAGGGTTCACTACAATCACATGCCAAAAAGATACACACACACTCACCCATCAGTGATACTGATTAGACAGATTTTCTCATCTTTTAAAGATTTTTATGTTATTCTTTTACTAAT